CCCCCAACAAATACCAGAACAAACACTTTTTCAAAGTAAGACTTGGGTTTTCTCCTTCATTACCACAGCCAATGGTAGTGACTGGGTAGAGAAATAGACTTGTAGCTTAAAACTTTATCTATCCAACAGTGTCATATGTGTGCACCCTATATCGGTTATCACTCCTATGGAGGCAATACTTTCGGAGCGTATCCCTAGTGTCTGTTGGTGTATTTCTGATAAAGCTTGCCAAGTTGGTTGGTTGCTTTTGTTTCATAGCATATGTTTCTATGGGTTATTTAATGCAGAAATCTAAATATTTTGTAGATAATCTTTTTCTTCTTTTTTTTTTTTTTTTAGATAATAACGGTTTTAGTCATACAACTTTTACTAATTAACCCTTAGCTGAGGGAAAAAGAGGTGAATTCATACCTTTCCAAAGTTATTTGTGCCTAGTATAACAAACTCAACTGGAATTATTAACAGGAGGATATCAAAATACAACTGAAATTGTTAAGAAAGCAATGACAAACTTGAAAATAAAAATAACTTAATATTTATTTAGGTACCTCCACGAGTTCACTAAAAAAAGAGCATAGCATGATGAAAAAGATGCCAAACTTGACAAAAAACAAAATTTTATTGTCTAAACCTTTATGTTAAGAGGAAAGATCAAAGTATTTTGGGGGTATTTTTTTATCATTCCTAGCACGTCCGAAATTTTCATTAAAAATCTTTTTTTTTTTTTTTTTGAGTCAGCAAAATTGACACATGGCAACCATTTTTTTTTTCCATTTTGTAAAAAAACTGAAAATCTCACTTTGAAATTCTTTTAAATATCAATTATCATTTTTTGAAAACTTATTTTAAAAAAATCAGAAATTATATTGTTTATTTAAAATATTTTGAAGCAAGCTTAACTTAGTTTCTGCGCCAAAAAGATGTAATTTGAAAATAAAACAAAGCAGGTCATAAACTTTTGCGTCACTTGACAGGTGATGAATGACATATTGACGGATTCTGTGAGGATAATTTGTTCTACGGAAGGAGAAAAGTGATATTATTTACATTTAAGTAAACAAATTATTTACCTCGTTATTTTTAAGGAAAACTTTCAGTGCTCTAATTTTTTTTTTGTACTTGCCTTTCACCTTTACAATGCTTTATGGAAAATATATCAAAGAAATTAAAATAAGACTTAAGAGTGAGATTAAATTTCATATTTCATAAGAAAGGTATCTAATTAATTTATAGGTACCTTTCTTATGAAATTTTATCAGAAGTGTACATAAAATACTATAATTTTATGTACATTTATTACATTTTACTGTGTTATTTGTATTTGCATTCATTTTATTATTAATTTTGATATTTCATTTATGGAAAAATGTCATAAGTGAGATTAATATAAAAATAAGATCATATAAATTTCATAAGATGATACTGATACTTGTAGGTACTAAAGCAACTTTATAATTACAGCCCGATTATAAACACAAAATTACATTTTTTAATTACTAATCTTCCGATTAGTCAAAATTTACAATGTGCTAAAAAAAGATCTCAAAGACATTTAGGAAACCTGATGCGGCTTTTAACTAATTTTATAATATTTTAACAACTTAAATGTAAAAATCTATTATAATTAAAGAAATAACGTAATTTTATTAAAAATTCATTTTTCATCGAAAAAATTTTTTCCTTTCAGAAAACATTGTCCATATTCATAAAAACAACTAAAAGCATTTAAAATTAAATAATATATTTGTTTTATTGAGTTTTGTATGTTACAATTCAGAGCTGATTTTCAGGTATGTGTGTGTATATGTGTGTGTGTGTGGGGGTCCAATTAAAAAAAAAAAAGAAAAAAAAGAAGCTGGATTTTCATTCCCCAAAGCCTTGTGCTTTTAACTATTGTAATCACTAAACCTGACGCAATCAAATTTCTGGCGTTTTCATAAAATTAGTTAGTGGGGGCGGGGGTAATAAATATAAAAAAATATTTCTGCCATGACATTAATATAAAAAAAAAAACATTTATAATAATTTCGATCATCTGTGAATAGTTTCTGAAAGTTTCATTAACATCCAACAATTATTTTTATTTTTGCAAGATTTTCCAAATTAATGTGTGTCAAATACAAAAAAAAAAAAAAAAAAAAAAAAACGTGCTAAAAATTGTCCATGTTATTTTACTAGTTCTGGTGATACAAAGAGAAACAAGGCTTTTTTGTAATCAAAATTTAGAATGTTCTAAAAAGAAGGAAAAATTTTTAAAAATAATTAAAATAAACTTTGATCTTTCCTCTTAATAATAACATAAGCATTTAGACGATAAAATTTTTTTTTCGTCAAGTTTGGCATCTTTTTTATCATGCTATGGTCTTTTTTTTAGTGATCTCATGGAGGTACCTATTTGGATAGATTGATGCAGATTTACAACTAGCTTTCACATTAAAAAAAAATACTAAAAACATATATAAAAAAATACTCACATAAAATAGCATACTAAACATTAAATATTGCATACCATACAAGATCTATGAAATGTTGCAGCCACTGAGAAAAACAATATGAATGAGTTTCAAAAACCAGTCCGTATACTGCAGTGATTATTCATGAAATAAATTATATATTTTAAATGCTAGCTTTCATTTTATTTCTCATGTATAAGTTTTCAAATACAGATGTAAGGGAGGTAATTCAGTATTTCGTATACAGAAATTGTTTTTCTATGTGACGAGCCCTTCAGGTCGTGGGCGATCATAGCCCTTAGTAAATTTTTTTTTTTTTTTTACTATATTTTCTAATTCCTTTTCTGCCAAACATTTACATAAGCTCTTTAGATAGGTTATGCACAGCTTTCCTCTGTCTCTCTTGCCTTCAATGTCCTGTGAGTGTCAAATTTCCCAAGCCTTTTTTCTTCATTACATGCCCTATAAATTTCAACTATCTTTTTCTGCTTTAGCATCAGCAATCATTTAGGATTAAAAAAAAAAAAAAAATCACCTTAAATATCACATTTGGTATTAAGAAAATTCTTGAAACTTAAAATTATCACTTTCTGAAAATGACCTTCAATCAGTTAATTGGGTTAAGAAATGGCTTGTAAATTATTAAATAACACTATTTATTAGATTGTTTATTGAAATGGTTGGCAAAACATTGGCTAATTACCAACTGAGTTAAATTTTATAAAATGGTAAATAAGGATTTCCTTATAGTCGATTCACATTTAGTAAATGTTTACAAATTTATGAATAAAAAAATCGGTAAATGATAAATATTGCATCAGTTTTTAGAATGTTGTAAATATAAAATTATTCTTGTAAATAAACAATCAAATAAATAATGTTTAATATATTTGATGTAAATTCTCAAGAACAAATAATATATAAATTCATTTCTATCATATGTTAAAGTTTTATTACAATTCTAATCATTGCTTTTTAAAACATATTACCAAAGAGTGAAGGTAGTTAAAATAATAGCAGTGTCAAGAGAAAAACTGTCCTCTTGACATTGCTTATTAAAGGGGGGGGGGGTTACAAAAGGCTAAAGATTACCAATACTTTTCTATGAGAAGATAAAACTCAATTTGTATTATTTTTGAAGATAGTGTAAAAGTACCAATCAAATGCAAACATAAAGGGATTTAGCAATCAAAAAAGTCAAAACTTGATAAGATGATAGGTGTTACTGAAAAACATCCTGACGCAAAATTCAGAATTGGTTTGAAAAATCTTTGAAAATCATGAGTAAAACCAAATTGGAAGGTGCAACTTAAAAGAAAACATCACTTGTGCTCAAACTTCTTTTCTTAATTTTCTATATTCTCAATAATTTGTTTATAATTCTCTGCATGAAATTCCCAAGCCAGTATTTGATTTGCCTGTGAAAAAACATTATGTAATCAATGAAAGAAGTTTGGAGAAGACCATCTTTCCCCATAAAAATTGTGTCCGTTGAACTTGCTCCATGGCTTAACCATGAAAACAATCCCAATTAATCTCATCCTTCCAACCACTCTTTTCCAATTCAGCAATTTTTTTTTTTTTTTTTTTAAATGTTTTATATAGGATTTGAAATCATATTACAATAAACCCTTTTACATCTATTATTGCTCCAGTTTTTTTGTTTTTTTTCATTTCAAAAGTTGCCAACACCACTGGGTTGTGACTGACCCAACACCTTTGACATCACCCCATCTGAATCCATCATGTTAGTGATAACTCTGTTGACATTCCTTCCCAGAGATCTTTTAACACAACAGGTGCACAGTGTGTCAACAGCTCAACACCATGGAGCCTATCTGACAGCAAATATGAAATTATTTCATGAAGGTTTTATCAAAAAGAAAAAAAAATGTTTTAATCCTCCAGGGAATTATCTTTTTAAAAAACAAAACTCAAACAGGAAAAGGGGAGGGGAGTATTTATAATTAATTTTTAAATTATTCTAAAGTGTCATCAATACAATAAGGACAAAAAAATTCAAAATAGAAATTTGAATGTCTTCAATGCATGAATTAAATTTCACAATATTTTTCTTAACAACTGGTTTTTTTTTTCAAATGTTTTTATATATTTAATGAAGATAAAATTAAAGAGAATATTCTCTAAATGCTGTAAAATTTATGTAAATTGAATAAACTTTTATAAACAATTTTAATGGCTTTTTTTTTATCATAGACATGCAATGTTGCAAAGTCTGTGAGAATATGTAAATGATCTCTCTGCCAATCTTACAGCAAAAAGTAAAATGAAAAACTTCATATATTATGTAAAATAAGTCTGCAAAGCTTCAAAACGTGTTAATTGGAAGAAACCGTTAACTAAAAAGATTAAAAAAAAGATTAGTGAGTGCATTAAATTGGTCAAGCAAAGTCCTCTAGTTGCAGAATTTTTTCTTATTCCAAGCAGTTAAGGGAGAGAGAGAGGAAAAAAGAAAAAGAAAAAAAAAGTGCAATCCAAGTGAAAAAAATAAATAAATAAAAGCAAAATTTATAAAAATTCTCTTACGCTTTTGATTTTTCCTCACTTCATCTATCTGGTACATCAAATTGTAGGAGACGATTACAAGAGCAATCAATCCTGCCACAGTCAGCGTACAAAATAGCCATTTTAAGTAGGATAAGCAATCAGACTCCTTTTGCGGAGCTCTCTTCCTGAAAGATGCACAAGAGGAATTTAACTTATGCTATAAATAATAATCATTTCTTATAAACATGTCTTATTAAAGAAAAGATTAATTTTCACTAATATTTTACTAGTTTTACTTCATCTTATAGCATATTATTTTTTTTTATCACAATACACCAGGGCTACACATTCTTCAAACATTAAAACAAACTCTAGAAAACTGGGTATATAAAAGTAGATTCCAAAGTTTGAACCCTAATCCAACACCTCAAAAGCCCATCTCAACTTCATTTTAACCACAAAAAAAAAAAAAAAAAAATCAGAGAAGGGGAGTTATTTACATATATGCAAACTATTGTCATCTTTGTTGCTGATATCAAAGGGAACAACAGCCAAAATATTGTGATGACAATAGTCCATATATAAATAATGTAAATAGATGTTAAAATTATTACAAATCTGGCCTTCACATAACCATTGAAGTTTTCATGGCTGCAAGTGTTAAGGCAATAATTTCTAAGAAAAAAAAAATCTATACTAGAAAAGAGGATGTACAAGTGTTCTAATTCCAGTTGAATTTGTTACATTGTTTTATGGAAATACCATTAAGGAAAAATGGTATAAATCCATCTTTTCCCACTACCAGTTAAGAGTTATATAGTAAGGCAGACTGGGCCCTTCAGCCTTGATTAGCAACTAGTCTAGGAAAATAACAAGTGAATTCAAAAACAGTTGGATATGGTGCTAACTCCATCCTGTAAAAAACCTATCCGTTACACAGAAACTATAGTAACAATGCCTTTGTTTTTTGAGAGCCAGGGATCAATCCTCTCAGAAGTTTACAGGACTCAAGTGAGTGAGTGATATAAAAAGACTGATTCTCTGTTAATCAAACTTTCTGCATGTTAATTTACAAGCACACATGTGGAGTGTCTGCATGTGTAGTGCAGGAGTTATTTACATGTGTTTGTGATATTCAATGAACACACAAATACACACATACTTTGAAATACAATATTGGAATCTTTGCATCTCCAACTCAGTCCAGACAACCCCTATCCTGGGCTGAACAATAATCAAAGTTGAAGACAAAAAAGAAAAAGAAAAAGGGACACTGTGTGATGAAGACTAATTTTCCTGTCTGGCAACAATCCCTGAGTAAGAGGAAAAGTATAAACTCTTTGAAGATATTTTTATGACTTCTTCAGTATTTAAACTGAATACATTTTCTAATAAATGGACAAGTTAGATTTGAAATTTAATAATATTGTCATCAGCAAAGTGACAGGTACCAAACTAGTAAAATAAAATAAAAAGTGTGGTATGCAAGTTTCATTAGAATCTGCTTTTACAGTCCCATACCGTCTGGTCAGAGTGTATCAACCTACGTATTTATCACAAAAGATGGTGACAAGGTCGAAGCTTATATGATTTTTTTTACAATACTGTAGAAAAAGCTCTTACTACTCGTTACTAAGGAACACATCAGGTGCCCAGTAATGACCCCAAACCCCTCCCAAAGGTGAGCTACTACCTGAGGAATCCTCCATCCCACCCCCGGAGCTTGAGCCATTTAAGATTTTCAATTTCTCGGACAGAAACGAACTCCTGCACCGAATCGTTAACCTCGAGATTATTGTGTGGTGAAAAGCAAAACTAAAATAATAAACAATATTTTCAAAAAGTCCTGCTGAACGGCAAAATTTATTTACACGCAGACTATTATCCCCATCTTTGTTGTTAATGTTATATCACATTTCGTTTGTTATACCCTCCGACCTTCATCATCTTCATAAACTTGTTGATGCAGGTAACCGTTGTAACTTAGGGAAGGTTACTGAAATAGAATAATCAAAAGAAGGTTGGTAATGAAACTAGGAGGAGTGAGTCAAGTGAATTCCACAATGAATCTCCAACTGCAGACCAATATACAGTATTTATTTACTACTGTATTTATGAGTGGTGACATACTTATTATCATTCGTAGGTATGCTACAACAGTAACCTTCAGGGAATTTCAAACTGAACGCTTTATTTTTATTTAACCTACAGGGATATTGTTCTGCTGTCTATGTCCACCAGGGATCTAGTTCTCATGAGGTATCACTTTTTTTGCTGCTGCAGCCTGTCAAATCTCCAAGAAAATTAGAAAGACAAATGCACTGATAAAGTTTCTTGCCAATCTTCTTTAAAAAAAAAAAAAAAAAAAAAAAAAACTACTGCCAAGTTATATATTAAAAATGGTATTTTGTGCATAGTAATGAAGTTTCAAATTACCATATATAATAATAATTGCCTAAAATATTTCTCATGCACACTTTCCACAATTAGTTGAGAATTTCGCTGATCAGAAACCAGGGTTAAAAAATAATTTAAAAAACAACTTCCTCACTTATTTGATTTTAAATAAAACAGAACTTTGATCGACAATGATTGCATATTTTTTTGTTTTGTTTTTTTTTTCTTATTTAGCCATTTGACAACCATTCAGTTAAATTCAGGTGTTTACAGTTTAGTTTATAAAACATTGGTCTCTTGAAAGATTTTTGCGTTTAAAATCAAGTCAATTGAAATATTGTAAGGTACAGAACTTAGAAACTGACGCACAGTTTTACAAACAATTTTTTGAACGAGTAATAATCAAAATCTTTGGGAAAACGAAAAGAAAATGAATCTGGCGTAGAAAGTAAATGTTAGTTGCATATCATATCCTCAAAAAATCATGAGTAGACACTATTCTGAATCAAGTTGCCACGCAAATTGACCGATTTGTTTTCTGCTCCCCCCCCCAGTAAAAGCATCTATCTCTCTCTCTAGTATTCTTTATTTAGAGAAAATTACTGCAATGCTTCGAGAAACATAAGAAATGGGGAAAAATACACGTGTACAAATGTGAAAATGTTTAAAAAAAGAGAAAAAAAAAATGTTTGCCACGCAATCAATGGAATTTTCTTTATTGGACCATTCATTAATGAAATTGAAATCATCTGAGCTGAGGTGACCGGTTTGTATATAAATCCACGCCAACGAACCTTAACATAAGATTTCAAAGTAAAACTGAAACACAAAATTCGTGCTTGGTTTACCAACAAAGGGACACAAGAGAGAAAGGGAATAATTTGAACAATACCCCCACCTCATTCGATGGAGCAACTTCAAAATAATGACCAACCAAATAGTTATCAAAATTTTGACTACCAATTATTTTATGGACACGATTACTAAATTCTCTTCAACCATACTTTTATGGAAATAAGAGTAATGAATGGCAACATTTTTATCATTTTTTAAAAATTTATGACTAAATTTTCGACCACTTAGTAAGCATAAGCAAAAAAAATAAAAATTGTAAGTTTTTACTAACAAGCATGGTCAAACAAGTTTTTTTTGTTGTTTTTTTTACTACTAAAAAGTCTCTAAACTTTCACTATACCAGAATCTGAGTGCCATTTTATAACTTAGCCAACAAGACCTGACTAAAAAAATGAATTCAATAAAAAAAAAAAAAGTGGTGTTAAGTGGGGCAGATAAAAGGTTTTGTACTGCAGATGTAGGGAGAATTGACCTTAAATAATAAACTTAAACTAGTATGATGAAAATAAAATGTTTCACTATCCGTAACTTCCGTCCCACTGAAGTAGCAAGTTATAAAAATAAAATTAAAAGTAAAACAATTGAATTGAATCATGCTCTGATTAAAACATCGAGCTAACTTTAAAAAAAAAAATTGACATAAAAGGTAAAAAAAAAACATTAACCTTTAAACAGTAAATATTAAAGACAAACTGTAACAAATGAAAAATTTTGAGACATTTGCATCTTATAATTATTATAAAAAAAACACACGCGTGACAAAACAGTTGTAGAATTACGCGAACATTTTATTGACGAGAATACAAATTTTAAATTTCTCTCCCACCACCTTAAATTAGCAAGTGATTTTTCTTATGTCTAAAAAAATGTCATGTCAAATGTATTTCTCCAGAATTATCTCCTCCTCTTATAACAAGTGTTCAGGTTTGAAGAAAAAGTTTTAAAAACTTAAATGTGAAGATTTAAATACGAAAAAAAAAATAAAATAATAGTAGTAAGTAGTCATTGCATCGAAATGGAAGTGATTTTTTTTTACTTGACTAGTAAGGGGAAATTCATAGTTACTTTAAGTAAAATAGTTGTTAGAAACTTAAGATTTTGTGAACAACCGAAGATTAAAAGAAAGAAAAGAAAATGAAATTATTACCCGACCGTGTAAAAACTTAAAAAAAAAATCGTTCAAGAAAAGTAAAAGACAAGTTAAATAGCTAACAAAATAAGTCTTTGTTGCTTCTTTTTTTCTCTCTCTCTTTAAATTACCATCGTTTTTTTTTTTTTTGTTTTGTTTTGTAACTTAATCATTAAATTAAATTTGTTTATGAGAGTAGCTGAGTAACAGTGTATTATTCTCGACACTACGTACGTAGGACCAACAAAGTCACCCGATCTTCGAAATCGGAAACTAAGGCCAAACAAACGAAAATATTGAAATCAACATTGGATTATATCGCCACTAGTCAGACCCAGTCAAAGGAAAGAAAAATTATTGCAACTTGCAGACAATATTTTTTTTACACAGATTTTAATTGCACTTTTTTCTTTTTTTAATTGTGGTACTTTTACGTGGCCTTAAAACCCGGATTAACCATCAATAGAAATTGCTGATAGCAGCCTTAATACAAAAATTATGCTGTTGAGCTCAGATTAATTTTAGAGAATAATGGTACCTATTCACCCCAGACGAGCTACTAATTTTGTTTGGAAGCAAAAAGAAGTGTCAAAGAAAAACAAATCAGTTCTTTTAAAATTTAAAAATTAACTTAAAAGTTTTGAGTTCGAAGTATTTTTTTTTTTTTTTTACCTAAATTGGGTAATTTATTTTTCTTTTTGTATAGTTTTTTTTTTTTTTTTTGTTACGACTGATAGAAGGAATTATTTGACGATCTTCAGATCACAAAGAACTCATTCACTCGTTGAGTTACAAAAACGAACTTGAAATCATAGAATGATGCAAGTATTTTAAGTGCTCGTCCTGTGTATGTACCCAGTAGTAGTGCTACAATCGTTTTTGATTTCACGGATAAAATAATTGATATCTTTGAATTCTTAAAATTAAAAATAAGCTATTTAATTTTAAAAAAATAAATTAATTCAGAAGAGTTTTGATTTGACAGAGAAATCTAGGTCGTTATTTTTTTTCTTTTAATGAGTAAGCGGAATTTTGTTACAAAACCGGTTTTTAACAGTAAGACATGACACAAGAAAAATTGTTTCACTGTAGTTTGGATGATATATATATATATATATATATATATATATATATATATATATATATATATATATATAATTACTTCTGTTAGTGTTTTAACTAAGTGTCTATTTTTCACAAAAGGTCATATTTTTACTTTAGTGAAGTTTGAAAAATTTAGAAAAAAATAAAAAAATGCAAACAAACAAATATTTTTTTAGCGGAAAAAGTTTACAATTTGAAACTTACTCCATTTTATTTTTAATGGGTGTAAATTAAAAATATAAGAATTTAACACAAAGTGAATTTTATGAAAACGGAATAAAACATCTGACAATTATAAAAAAACTAAAGAAAATATACGTCAGTTTGTTTACGTCATCACAAAGTTAAAAAGTAAAACCAATTACGAAAAATAAATTAAAAAGTTTTAATTAAAAAGAAATTACAATTATTCGAAAAGACAAGCCACAAAAAAAATTCAGAAGCACGAAGGAAAAAAATAAAACAATTTTTAAAAAAAATGAATTTAAAAGAAGTAATTTTGCTGTAAACAAAATTAAAACAAGTTTCCAGAGACCGTTTAAATGAAAAAGCAATTCCTTATCAAATTACAGAATATAACCAAAACAAATTATGAAAACAAGTCATGTTTTTATCTGGTAAAGGATAATTAGTGAAAATAAAAACAGATACATTGATAAGGAAGAAGAGAAAATATTGAAATATGAACACCAAAAATAATGCAACAATTAACTCCCCAAAAAAGTTAAGAAAATGAAAATTTATTATAGCAATCTCTTACAAAATAAAATAACTAGCCCCGTGTAAAGTAATGATAGTCTACTGAGGTAATATTTTATAAATAAAACATTAGATTATTATTTGAGGAGTGACTGATTTTAGTTTTTAACACAACCGTAGAGAAAATATTTCTTCAAGCAGTTCAACAAAAAAAGTAACAATAATAAACACTGCCGGTCATTTTTTTGTGTATGTGTTTATAATGAAATGCTTTACTTACCTCTTTCCCAAAATCTTTGGCTTCTTAGACTTAAGGGAGGGAAGGTTAAGCAATTCCTGCGAATCGCTATCGCTATACGAACCAAGTAAATTAGACATCTTTCTGTGCCTTCTTAGAAAGTCGAAAGCGTCAATACACAAACTTAGACAAACTTTGATCTTGTGACGTCAGACAGCTGGAGTAATCCTTATTTCACTCTACACGATTTTGGTATAAACAGTTTAAAAGTAAAAATAAAAGCAAACAGACTTAAATCACACAATGAGAATAAATGAACAAATTGTAATCAGGAACAATTTGAATTTAAAACGATTTAACTTATTAACCGAGTGGATATTATTAAATCGGTTAACAACAAAAACAGAGCACAATGACTGTTCCCTCAGGTCTTGACTAAACAGACAGCATCATTGGACAAAACTGGTTGTAGGAATAACAGTTAACGTTCGCTTTATAATTCTGCTATTACGGTGAACAGATCTTTTTTTTTTTTCACAAGTAAATGAAATGTTGATCGACAACTTATTTTTAAGATTTATTCATAGTTTGATGAACTTTAAAAATCACTTTACTTAAGATATATTATTTGACACAAAAGTCTTCTAGGTCTATATACTTAAAGGGCAGTTAATTTATAAAATTCGTTTGTCTCTCTGAATATAAAATAATTGGCTGCTGGTCAGGTTTTAATTAGCACCTGACGATTGCATCGTGCCTGAAAGTCAGAATTGTGCTATTTGTGTGTGTGTGTGTGTGTGTGTGTGTGTGTGTGTGTGTGTGTGTGTGTGTGTGTGATGATGATCCGCTGCATCTTTACAGATGATGGCCGCCTAATCATGTTCACTCCACACCTCACACCTCTCTCATGTATGACCCCAAAGGTGACTTGCCAAGCCAGCTGTGAACTTGCATGAATTATTACACAAGTGACAGACGAACAATGCTTGCCACAACCTTGATAGATTCACACTGCTGTGCCTGATTCCTGTGCCCTATCATGTGCCTTTTTAGTTCGGAGCTGGTTGTACATATCTTGTCACACAGTGTGCAGGCTGTGACGGTCTATATCTGGAGAATATCAAGGGCGATTTTTTTCTTTATGTGACTTCACATGATTCACCTAGCCAACCTTTGAGAGAAGTATGCACTTGCAGAAATCACATGTCCATCCCTTGATACCCTCGTCCAGTTCATGGTTAGTCGCTGCTTCAGCTGTTTGTTTCCAGACGATATTCTTTGAAGAGTTGACAACTGTCTCTTATTTCCCCTCTCCATCCAGTTCTATCTAGGGCGATCTCCTCCCAGTTGTTGCCAGCTTTTTTAGGTTGTTCTTGATACAGTCCTTGTACCTTTTCCTTGGTTTGTGCTGAGGATGCTTTCCGATACTCAGCACACCATAAAACAATTGTTTCAGGAGTCTACTTTCCATCATTCAAATTATGTGTCCTGTCCATCACATTTGGGAAAATGTTACAAGAACCTCTATGCTTTGGCAGTTGGCTCTGACTAGGACATCAGTATCAGGAGTTCTGCTTTCCCATTTGACATTCAATATGCATCTCTGGCATTTCTGCTGGAAACACTCAAGTATTTTTATATATTTGCTGAGTAGTGTCCAAGTTTCCGAGGCATATAGAAGAACTGTCAGAATGCAAGATCTATACAAACATGCCTTGATATGGTTGGCAATGTCACAAGCTGCCCTTACTTTCCTTTAGTTTGCAGCTTTCCAAAGGCCACAGAGGCCTTCTGTATGCATAGATATATTTCGGCATTCAATGAGCCATCTTTTGTAATTGTGCTGCCAAGGTAAATGAACTTCTCAACTATCCCTAATCTTGTTCCATGAACAAAGATGTTGGGCTCGATATATGGTTCTCCAGGGGCAGGAGTAAACATTACCTTGGTTTTTGTGAGGCTTATTGTAAGACCAAATGCGCATGTGTATGTATAGATAGCTATATATAGACAAAGAGATAGTTATATCTATCTATAGAGAGAGAGATCTGTAGTAATAGCAACAAATAAATCACTAAATAACTTCTAACCCTTAGTACTATACTATGTAAAGTTATGAAATCAAAATAATAATTAATAATAAAAGAGGAAAATTAAAAGTTAAGTAATAAAATTACTTTTAAATATAGATAAGAATGATAATTAACAATAAAGAAAGAAAAATTGATATTATAAAAAATAGTTTAATAAATATGAAAATTCCCATCATTTACTGCCAATATAAACAGAAATCAAATTTTATCTCTTTTCATCTTTGACAGCCAAAGGAGGCAGATATCCGGGGACAGAACTTAGATAGTACATGTTGCTACCAAACCTGATAAACAAAACCCTTTTATCTCTGTATAGATATATGTTCTTTAAAATATATAATTTTCCCTAAAATGTATACGAAAGCCTTTTAATATTTCTATTTCTATTTATTGTATTGTATATGATTTGTTTGTAATTTAAATATTTCTGTTGTGGGACTGATGATGTTTTTTTTTGCTCAAACAAAATTATATATATATATATATATATATATATATATATATATATATATATATATAAAAAGGAGTACATTCAGACACATTACCAGAACAACCTCATGTTATATAGGAATAAAGTGTCGCTGCCAACACTTGAGTTTGAACATAGATCACCAGTGAGAAAAGGCAGGTAATCCCATTATTGAATTAAGTAGACCGCAACACCACCAAATACAAAGAAAACAACATAATAGAGGTAAGAACCCAAATACATACTACCACATACTTGATAACCCTTCAAATTTCTACTTAACCCCATACATCTATAGAAACACCCAGAACACCCCTTATAACAAAATAAACACACTAGAAAATCAAAAAAATGTAGAGAGCAGTTATCTCTTAGAAAACTCAGAATGTATGGAAAAAATAATCATTTTTTTTTTTTAGATATCTCATTCTGAACAAGAAGACCAGTTTAGATGACACAAAACCAAAAATAATAAACTTATCTACATATGCACTTACAAAGGACAAGATAACAGACCTAAAAAAAGACCTTATAGAATTTGGATGCAAACTCAGAGTAATATAAACATTAAATAGTAACAAAAACATTACAGATGACTCAATAGTTAAAAATAAATCAAAATTCTTTCCAAACAAAAACAACAGTACAAATGAATTAAACCTATTTTTTGAAAAACTCTGGAACTTCAACCTACAAGAAAATCCATATCATTCAATAACCTCACATACAGACAAAGACTAGCTTTAGAGAATATCTGGAGAAATAAAAATATAATTATAAAAGAAGCAGACAAAGGTAGCATTATAGTCATCATGGATTAGATATACTATAAAACAAAAAATTCTAAAGACACTACGGAATAAGTATAACTGTAAATTAATCAATACCAACATAGACCAAAATATTATATTAAAAAATGACAAAACTCTGCACAATACATTATAAAATATTAACAAAAAAGAAAGGGACTTCCTAATAAACTTCATCTCAAAATCAAGCAATTTTTACAGACTAACAAAAATTCACAAATCAAGTGAAATAAAAGCAGCCATCCAAACACAAAAATCTAACTGTATTAACATCCCAACCCCCAGTAACCTTATATTTAGACCCATAGTAGCAGGACTAGCCTTGTCCAAGTAGCAGACTCAGTAACCTAATAAACACTATACTACAACCATTTACTAAACAGATTAAGAGTTACATCAGAGAAAATATGCACTTCCTTAGCTCCATACCACAAAAAGTAGATCCGGGAACACTCTTGGCAAAATCTGACATTAGCAGCAACATACCCTCTGAATTCAGGTAAACAGGCAATCTCATTCTGGACTGAAAAACATCCAGAGATACTATATCCCAGATTCATCAAAGAAGTCATTATTGATAATAGACATAATCCTGAACAACAACTCTTTCAACTTTGATAACAAAAATGATATCCAAACACGAGGTACCATGATGGAATGAAAATAGCACCAAAATATGCTCCCTTGACATTTTCCTAGAGGAAAACCTTTATGAAAAGATAAAGCAAAAATATGGGGAAAATATAAAAACACACTTTACTGAATCTTGGAAGAGATATTTAGATGATTGCTTCATCTTCTGAAAATCCTCATGGGGTAATATTAACGAATAACACAATTTACTCCAAAATTTACACTCAAAGATTAAATTCACTGAAGAACATAACTTTAACAAACTGCCATTCTTAGATATACTCATGAAAAATAGATATAACAATATTATCACAGATATCTACCACAAACCTACACACACCCAACAATATCTTGATTTTAAGAGCCATTACCCAAAAAAGCTGTCTAAAATCCATCCCCTATTCCCTGGCACAAAGTAACCAACAAACATCTTCAAAAAAACTCTCATAAAACGAGGATACCCACATACCACTAATAAAGAAAGGTTTTGAACTAGCAGAAAAAATACCTTTAGACCAACTAAAAAATCTAAAGAAATGCAACAAAAAACAAATTCTACCATATGTCTAAACATACAACAAAAACAATCCAGAACTATTTACAGAAATAACAAGAAATATAGACCCACTTAATAAGAACGATAAAATAAAAGATATACTAAAAACAACCAAAATAATTAAAAGCAAATGCCAATCAAAAAAACCTAAAACATATTAACTCCATTCAAATTTAGTCAACACACAATGCAAGGAGTCACAAAGAAAGTAAGAAAAAGATAAGGGGTTTGTAATATAATTATGGAAGGAAACTCCTACACATTTGAAAGTAAAGCCTATTATGATGGATCAGTTTTCATAATCTTAGCCTTCACAGCAGGTTGTCTTTCCATTTCACAATTCATTGTTGATAATAAAAACATAATTCTCATCTGCTTTTCTGTTTGCCAGTGATACGTGTTTTCCTAATTTCCCAAGAAATAGATAAAATTGTTCCCTAAATCTGGTTTTTCCCACATACCAGACTCCCAATAAATGAGAAAAATAAACTCTAGGAGAAAAGAAATCCAGACGGTCCCATTCTCACTGAGAAAAATGTCACCACTCTCTATCTTCTAGCCTAAATTTCATTTTGGGCTT